CGACGTCGAAGGAACCCCGCCCGCTTTTCGCGTCGATCGACGTGGAGGTCTCACGGGCGTCAAAGGCCGCGAGGCCGTCGTCATCCCCACCCACGGCTGGGTCCCCCGAAAAGTTCAGAGACATTAACATGTTCGCCAGGGTACCCACCCCGCGCGGGATGAGCACCAGGATGATCTCCGAAAGGTAAACCGTCGTGGTATGCTTCGCAGCGTTCATTTCCACTACCAAGGCGTTCTCCTTTCGGTCGCTTGAATGGTCCTTGTCGGTGGCCTTAGTGGGGCCAGGACTACTAGCCCCGATGGACGCTGTGGGGGCTTTTATCAAAGAAGCCCCCGACGTCTCGCTGGCTTTGTTGGTGTAAAGAAAGAGGCTGTTGGTGAAGTTCTCAACCGCGTTGATGTTCGGGATGCGAACGCGCAGGTTACCGTTTGCCTTCTGCTGAAGAACGACCTCGGAAATTGTGAAAGTGTGGGTATGCATGCCGAAAAAGTCGTACATCTCCACAAGCAAGCCATTAATTTCAAGGTCAATAGTACGCATGACTTCGGCAACCGCGGTGTTCGTTGGCTGTATATCTGGCGAAACGACTTCGGACGACGGCAAGGCATCCTTCTCTTCCGCCTTGGCGGCGTCAAAATCACCATAGTAGTGCGTCGTGGGGGGCAGCAGCAGGTTTTGATTGAGCACCGACATGATATAGCTCACATCATTCATATAGAGAAGCCCTACAGTGCGGTCGAGGGTGATCTGAACGGACTCATGCGGACCGTTCTTTTTGTACACAAGCTTGGTCGTGGACTTTTGGAGTAGCTCAGGGATGCTAAAGTCGCACGCTTTAAATCCAACCGAGAGGGCGTCGGAAGATTGGTCAAGTTTAATGTTCGCCTTTATCGCCCCCAGACGTACTTCCAAGCACCTGGACTGCTTCTTCATGTTGATGGCATCCCCGATAATGAACACCCGCGGCTGATGCCATAGTATGTTCACAGAAACCATCGCACTATCGGCTATCTCTTTTACCGCACGCTCCACCCGCTTGCGCTGTTCCCTCATCACGCCCAAATTAGAAATCTTCGCAATCGGCTGCGAGGGGGATGCGGCGTACTCCATCAAGCCATAAAGCACCGACATGGCGCACAACAAGTCCAGTCGGTCGATGACCATTTCGATGGTATTCTTCCGCTCGCTGGGGTTCGTGTGCACGTTGAGCCGTACCGCATCCCCGGGGACCCGCTGGGGGGTTCGAACGCTTTTGCTCAACCCAGGCCCCATCGCTCCAGTGGTGTGGGAGAGGGATCCCATCCCAGTGAGCCCACCGCTCAGTGCACTATTCGATCCCGAAAAGCTTGGCAGAGCGCTGACCAGGTTGGGGTGCTGAACCGTCGAGAGGTTCGCGGAGACCGCGTTCACCCCATCCTCGCCTTCCACCACCATATTTTCGGGGTACATATTATAAGAGTCACCGCCTGGGCTCGCCAGCTCGGCGAAGGCGTGGACGGAAGAGGAAAAAGTGCTGTCGGTCGGAGTCGGGATCGGGCGCTCGTAGAGCAATCGTTTCCCCGACTTCAGATCCATCACCTCAATCTTATGCACGCGCACAGAGAGATGCGCACCCTCCTCCAAGTTGACAAAATCCACCCGAAGAAACGCGATCTCGGCCTCAAAAATCGCCTCGCGGTCCGCTGTCAAAAAGGGAACGACAACGTTAGGCGTATTCACCACACAGCGAAGGGCGCCACTGTAGGGGTTTGCGGGGACGGATGGCTGCAAAAGCTCGGTGTTCGGCGATGACCCTTCAGCGGCATTCCCCCCAACCCCTTCCATGGACTGGTTGGCTTCGATCGCCCCCACCTCCTCCATCCACACCTGGCTCACCGCCTCGTTGAAGAAGAAGTCATAGATATCAAGCCATTGATCCGTTACCGCAAAGCGCCGTAGCGTGAAGTCGACGGAGATCATCGTCGCGTCCAGCGCGTCGTCGGAATTAGGCGCGATCAAAGTCGTCGAGGCCGCCATCGAATGTTGATTCGTCTGGTCAAACTCGAAGGAAGCGTCGGAATCGCTGCCCGGGAAGCCTTCCCCGGATCCCGCCCCGCCCAATGAGAGCTCCCCGGTATGGTTTAAACTCCGCACTAAAGCGCCGCGCGTCGTCCGTAAAGAATCCACGCCCACCGCTCCCTCATCGCAGAGAAAAAGGTCCGCGCCAGAGGCCCCCCCCAGCCCGAAACTCTTCCAGTGAAAGTCCACGGCCTGAGTAGGGGACACCCTCAGGGTGAGGCCGCGGATGGTAAAGGTGAAGCCCACCCCCTCCCCCTCCTCCTCAACACGGAGAACCGCCTTGGCACAGTGAAGCCGAAGCTGAACCCCGAGGCCCTGAGGCGTAGAAAGAGATGACACAGAGTGAGAGGCCCCTTGAGATGGCACAGGGTGGGATGTCCCCTGAGAGGACACAGGCTGAGAAGTCCTTTGAGAGGACACAGGGTGGGAAGTCCCTTGATGTAACGGTGGGGTTTCGTCCTGTTTCACGCGCACAGGAGGAGCCCCCAAGAGGGCCTTCTTTGAGGCCGTCCTACCCTCCAGTTGAAGGGAGGAGGACACCCCCGCGACGGACATCCCCGGCGCCACCACCCCGCGTGAGAGATTCCGGTGAAGCAGCTGACAAAAATCCAGAAAATCCCCCGCGGTAAGGCGGAACTCGAAACTCTCACTGCGAAGATCCACCTGCGGGGCGTCGGTTGAGTCGGGGTTAATCGAACTCCGCAGCGCCAGCTCCACGGCGGTGTGAGGGGGCAAAAAGTGGCGAACCTCGTCCTTTCCCCCCGCACCTTCCCGCGTGAGCGCGATCTCGCCGAGTGAGATATTCAAAACCTGCTGACCCTCCGCCGCGTAGAGGCTGCTCTGGATGATAATATGCCCCAGCGATGCTTTGAACGATTCAGAGCTTCGCCGAGGGTCGAGTGGGAGGGTGAGGG